TGAGGGTGTTATTCCCTACATCATTGATAAATCCCTGTTCAGTGAGGAGGATTCCACTCATTAACAATTGTTTCCTTTATCCATATCCACTATCAACTACCACTTTCAATTTTTTAGAAAAGGAAGAATTGGAACAGCTGACAACCGCAATTGAAACATGGAACAATGAGACGTGCATTCAGTTTCGAAAGTACCGACGAAGTGACAGAAATTGGATACGCATTACGGATGGAAGTAGGTGAGTACATGCAGTAAAGCGCATTACAACCCCATTGTCGATGTTTAGCTGCTTTTCTGAATACATGGGATTTAAAGGAATTCCGGGAGAGCAAACGGTCATGCTATCTAAAAACGGATGTCGTTTTGTAAGTTTCTGAGCATTATTACGTACTCAAACTTTTGAATGCTCTAGCTATAGACAAATTGTATGGTAAAGCGACAAAGCATTCTGTTCTTTGTCGCACAATTTAGTACGGACTCTATCTTCACGAGCTGGGTCATGTAATGGGACTTGACCACGAGCATATTCGAGCTGACAGAGACACCTATCTCCATGTAAATGATGCTGGTGTTCCGGAGGACTTCAAATCATTCTTTACCAAAAAGTCCAAAGAGGATCTCCATACCTACGATTCACCATACGACTTACAATCTGTAATGCACTACGGACGGTCTGTAAGTACCCATCTTGCCTACAACCTACAAAAGCCGAAGGAAAACTAAAAAATAGGCTTTTACGAACCACACAACTTAGAAGCAAGATAAAAGGATAACCGACATCTGAAAAACCTTACTGAGCTCGTTTCCACCAAGGTCGAATAACAACTTACAAAAACAATTTTTTTCCCAAAAAATTTTCCACATCTTTTAGCATATGTCATGGATAGAAGCTGTTTTATCACTTTATTTTGCAATGAACTATCTTCTGTAAAATAAATCTTCCTAAATATTATTGCCTTATATAGTCATTCTCCGTTTATGCCGACAAAGTACCGATTGTCGTAAAGGATGAGAAAATGAAACATATTTTGACGGATGTGTACGTTAAGGATATTTCATTTTGGGATGCAAGAATACTAAATCTTCATTATCACTGTGAAGGTTAGTGAATGATCGTGATAACAAAGTGAACTTTTGTATGCTGATAGCTGTTTGGTTTGTGCTTCAGATAAATGCAAAAATGTCCAACCCACCTGTCCATTTCCGGGATACGTCGACAAACACTGCAAATGTCAAACACCAGAAAGTACTACCTAAACTGCCTTTTGAGTTTTTGTTTTCCTGATGCCATCACCTATTTCTACTTGTTTACTTTAAAAGCATTTTCTCAACGTCGATGTGTGGACACTCTTGCGGAAGTAGAATGCCGAAAGTTGGCCGACAGACTGGAATGCTTACGCAATGCCAGCTTCATGACAGCCTACTGTCGTAAAACGTGTGGATTTTGTTTTAAGAACTCTCTCTTCCCTACAGCAAGGCCTTCCCTTGCGTAAGACCCGTAATTTGGCCCGCATCTTAGTGCACGACGGTCACTCCTTTAAATCCGACAAGCCTTTTTTTGCGGCTGCGTTAAAAAAATGTGAATGTTTTCTCCGCATCAACATAATTGTTGATGTAGACGCATGTGTCTGGAAGTGTTGTTGCATCATTACTACACTCATATTGACTAAGCGATACCGTTGTTTATCAGACGGTGTGATATACACTTCACCCACTCACTGCCGACTCCTACCTTTAAAGCGATAAATCACAGAATCAGCATCGATTCTCCTTTCAAGCAGAAGACTTTAACTGTCTCATTTGTACTGCTGCATCAAAGATGCATTTTATGCTGTAGATGCAAAGACCACCATGAAAATTGTGCTGAATGGGCAGGTATGGGCCACTGTGTCAGGACTGCCGGTTACATGAAGATGATGTGTCCTGAGAGTTGCGGCTTCTGCAATTTAGCAAAAGGTGATATGAGTAGGAGTGGTGCGTGTAAAGATCATTATATTTATCCCTCCGATTGCGAAGCTTGGGCTAAAGAAGGAAAATGTGTGAGCAATAAAATGTGGATGCATTTTAACTGCGCCAAATCTTGCGATGTTTGTGCCGAGTCCGGGAGGTACGTGGCTGTTATTGCCTGCTTTATTTTGCATATGCGTAATTTCGTCAACGGGTTTATAATCATGTAGATCCAAAGTCACCAAGACCCCACCTGCACCGAATACGACAACGATGAGAGGCATGCCTAATACCTGTAGAAATAACTATGGTACACGGAATTGTAAGCTCCTGGCATCTCGAAATATGTGCCACACTCACAGATCATGGATGGAACAGCAGTGTCGAGAAATCTGTGGGTTCTGTCAAAACGATTCTCCTTCAATGATTTCTAGTATGAGTTAATTTTCGTTTCTTGTCTTTTTTTGCCCTCATTAACTTTCTTTGTTGATTTATCTTGTAGCATTTAAAAGCATTCTACTGACTAACGAGCAGTAGTATAGAAAG